GGAAGGAAGGAAGGAAGGAAGGAAGGAAGGAAGGAAGGAAGGAAGGAAGGGCTGGCTACAGGCTTCAATTAACTCTCAGAAACATCTAAAATGCATTCAGCACTAACTAAACACTTGACCCTAGGTGGTGGTAGTGGTTGTTCTTGTTTTGAAAAAAAGGAGGAGGGTAGGGAGGGTAGGTCTGGGATGTGGCTTAGTGGTAGAGTGCTTGCCTATCATGCATAAAGCCCTGGGTTCAATACCACGTAAACAGAAAAAGCTGAAAGTAGTGGCACTGTGGCTCAAGTAGTAGAGTGCCAGCCTTGAGCAAAAGCAGCTCAGGGACAGTGCCCAGGAGTTGGCAGTTCAAGCCCCAGGACTGGCAAAAACTAAATAAAACTTTGATCTTTATTAGCACAACACACTCAGATGGCTGCACACCAATAAAGACACCGCATCACCAGAACTCCATAAAACCTTGTCAAGAGACAAAAAGAAAACCCACGCAAATGATCTCATTAAAGAAATCTGTGTCCACTCCAAAACTAATTGCAAAACTCGCCACAAGAAAAAAAGTCTACGTGCCCTCAGCTCTGATTGTCATCACAGAAGACAGTGCAGGTAATGACTAGAATATCAGAAAAGACTAAAATTACAAAGACCCTCTGGATCTGGGAAGATGGCTCAGTGGTAGAGTGCTTGCCTTGCATGCATGAGGCCCTGAGTTCGAGCCCTCAGCACCACATAACCAGAAAAAGCTAGAAGTGGTGCTGCGTGGTTCAAATGGTAGAGCGCTAGCCTTGAGTTGAAGAGCTCAGGGACAGGGCCCAGGCCCAGAGTTCAAGCCCCAATACTGACCAAAAAATTAAAAAAGAAAGACCTCCTGCCTCTGCTCTGGCCATCACCATCCCTTCATCATTTCTGGAACGCAGTCTGACCCAAGACTCCCTGTTTCCTGTATACAATAGCGAAGTTTAAAATAAATTGTTTTTCTTTAAAAAAAAAAAAAAAAAAACATCCAGAGCAGTGGTACTCACTAGACACTATGTGGAAAATGAAGTATACAACTTGTGGGTCGGGGATGGGAGGGAAAAACTGGGAGAGCACGAGAGAAGGGGAGACATTTTCCAAAAACAAATGTACTGGGCTGGGAATGTGGCTTAAGTGATAGAGTGCTTGGCCTAGCATGCATGAAGCCTTGAGTTCGATTCCTCAGTAGCACATACACAGAAAAAGCTGGAAGTGGTGATGTGGCTCCAGTGATCGAGTGCTAGCCTTGAGCAGAAGCAGCTCAAGGGACAGTGCCCAGGGCCTGAATTCAAGCCCCAGGACTGGAAAATAAATTAATTAAAATTCTTAAAAAATTAAAAATGTATTCCTTACCCGACTTATGTAACTGTAACCCTGCTGTACATCTTTCATTTTTTTTTTTTTGTGGTTGGTCGTGGGACCTGAACTCTAGGCCTGGGCGCTGTCCCTCAGTTCTTCAGTTCAAGGCTAGTGCTCTACTACTTGAGCCACAGCTCCACTTCTGGCTTTTTTTCTGCTTCTGTGGTGCTGAGGAACCGAACCTAGGGCCTTAATGCCTGCGAGGCAAAGCGCTCTACCACTGAGCCACCCTGCCTGCCCTGGACATCCCTTTTACAGTAACAGTAAATTTTAAAAAAACAACATCCACAAACCCAAATCTTAAGAAATAAAACTAAAACCCACCCAGAAGTACACAGGAGCAGAGCCTGGAGCGACAAGACCAAGACCAACTACAAGAAGCCGAGCACACCGGTTTACCTCTCTTCCTGATCAGAGAGCGGGGTCCTCCCTCCTGCACCCCCCCACATCCCCCCCCAGG